TTCCGACCAATCACAAACGTTGTTGCAAATTTGACCTTATGACGTCAAAGAATTTCCCATAATGCAATTATTGCATATAAATAAAAAAACTACTATATCAATTGAATAAAAAATATTGCATTCAAATGACATTTTATACCAATTGAATAAAAACTATTGCATTTGAATGAAAATTATACCATTTGAATGAAAAATTATACCATTTGAATGAAAAATTATACCATTTAAATGAAAAAATATACCATTCAAATAAAAAAATATTGCATTTAAATGAAGAAATATACCAATAAAATAGAAATATTGCATTTAAATGAAAAATATCAAATTTTTGCAACCAATACCATGCCATAGCTGACAAAGCTTTCTTTGTTCTACTTTCTGTTTAAGAAACCTTTAAGGTAATGATACACATCTTCAAAAATATGAAGGATGAAATTTCATTGTCTGATGTACTTATTACAAGAATAAAAAGTAGAACGTAGTGTTCCTTGTAAGCGAAGCGTTGACACATAACCTGAATTTCAATCAGATTGTACATATTCATGACACAAAATCCCTACATTCTATTGACAAAGCCTAAAGCAAATGAACAGTGCGTGTATTACTGTCCTTCTGATTAAAGTCACACTGAAGCATTCTAAACGGGGTTAAAGCTTACACCTTATTGTAAACGTTAGAGGTTAATCTTTGAGGACTGTCATCCAAAAGTATGTTGGTTCTATAGGAAAACAATCACGCCAAAGATTAATTATTCTGGGTACCAACGAACCTATAGAACATTATTGCTTTATTATATTTGATCTTTTAATCAAAAGCAATATGTATTCCGTTGTTATTTATCATCATATATATAAACACTGTATTAATTTCTTGACCTTATAAAACATTGTCAGATAGTTGGGCTACTTCGTAGCGAAATGCAGATGCGTTCAAGTTTCGATCTGATGAGAACAATCAACCTCCATCACCCCAACTCAAAAAAGAAACGAATAAAATACAACAAAACCGTACTGAATTGGATTTTCCCCTCAGTCATACAACTGTTCTTATTTAATTGTTTTATCTATTGCAAATTTAAAGTTCATTTGTAATAAAAATGGCATTGTATCTAACAAACGTTGGTTGCAACTCCTTATTGCAATGTCGAGTATTCTCATCAACACCCAATGTTTAGTACTTGTTGGATTAAAATAAAATTGAAAATGGAAATGGGGAATGTGTCAAAGAGACAACAACCCGACCAAAGAGCAGAAAACACCCGTAGGCCACCAATGGGTCTTCAAAGACTACATTTATACCGTTATTTTTTGGTTAATAAAAAACTCATCATAGATATCATGCTTATAAGTTTGTGCGGCAGACGCGTACGTCTACAGAAGACTGATCAGTAACGCGCGAATAAAAAAAGTTAAAAAGCCAAATATAAGTTACGAATTTGAGGAGCACCGAGAACCTGAAATTCCGAAAAAGTTTGTTAAAAAGAATTTTGTGTTGCATAATATTTATTGCCATCCTGTCTTGTGCAAAGTTATTTATTTTCATTTCTTACTAGGCCATGATGCAAATGCAATAAAAATAAAAGCCGTTATACCAGAAACACTATAGCATCTTTTCATATCTAGCGAATATTAGCATGTTTATGAAAAAAATTCAGTATGTACTAATATTATCATGCCTCTTTGCCTGAAGTGCTTCTTGTAATTCTTAGGTCAGGTCTTCAGTAAACTCGCGTCTTATTTAGAGAAAATTTTGTCATATATCAAAGGAAAAAATTCAAAATAGTCAGCGCCTTTTTGTTGTTTCAATCTTGACACAAAAATCTGCAAGAACATGGTTTTTTATACATTTTTAAGCATTATTTTCCGTGTCTGAAACAAAAAAGAAAGTGCAATTTCTCTCTCTATTTATCTCTCTCTCGGGCGGCTGAATGTCAAATATAAGTCTTGTGAGTCTCTTTTTAGAGTGATAGACGTACCACAAGGAAGATATGCATTTCGAATGTAAAGTACAAGAAAAAGCACTTTAGAAAATACAAAATAGTTTAAGGATGTTCGCTACTCTGTTTCAAAATAACAAGCTTTTTAAAAGACTGTTATAAATTGATAGTATATAAATAAAGGAACTATAAAAGCAGAAAAAAATGAAGGGTCCGTGTGCTTGTTTTCGAGATATAAGCCATTGAAAATTTGGCGGGAAATGATTCTCTCTAGATTTTTCATACTTTTAACATTGGCCGCTTTTTTGTTTAAAAAACTGAAAAATTAACAAGGATTGTATAAGATTTTTAAATATGGCTTTTTAAACTATATGTTATAAAATTATGAAAAGAAAAGTAGGGGTCAGTGGGCAAATTTTTTTAATGGCAATACATGGATAAAACCAGAGGATTCCGAAAATCTGGCAGAAATTCAAAAACAAGAGGAGCAAACATCCTTAAAAACGTAAACTTTGCTGCATGTTTTAAATGTTAGAACATTCTATATATCGAGGATGCTTACTTGCACATGCATTGTAATACTATCAATATTATAGCAATTAATGTAACGAAAGAAATATGATCAATGATGTTGTAAGAATAAACTGATAGCAGAGTTTGCCACTCAGCATGCTAATCGTGTTCTCTTAGAGTGACGATGCTTTCTAGTATTGTCAAGATTTTAGGAATTATTATTAGCAGTTGGTATTGGTTCTATTCAAAAGAGTTTGATCTATTTATAAATGAAATTGCCAATTATAAAGATGTATTATTTTGGCTCGAAAGAAAAGTTGCTTAAACGGATTAATGGAAGCACTAAAGTTCAAAATTTATGAATATTTGTAAAATTAAACATCTTTTTATGGCGTATGTTAATACGTGACACAGAACGTGAATTTTTCATTCAGTTCATCTTAAACAGTTTTTACTTTAATGAGGATGGTATTTTACCTTTGTCCAACTGTGCGCATGATGAATGTGTGTGTTTTTCGGATAAATTGGGTAAAGTAAGAAATTCCGTCTTAAATGATTTGTATTTGTTTATTGGAAAAAGGGGGACCGTATTCGAAAATATTCTTTAAACTGAATAACTAAGCTCCATTTGATTACATATGGAATTTCTACATGTTTTCGAAGTTTCGGATAATATTTCTATAGGCTAATTTTCTTCCTCTTGCATCATACGGGTATATAGGTCACCCTTGTTGAAAGGAATCCTTATTTTTTTTAAGCAAATCAGAAAAAAATAGCCATTCTAATATTAACTATAACATATCTTCCACTGGTAGAGGTATTATAATAAACAAGTGGAAATAACATAATTACACAGAACAAGTTTTGATGCATTAAATCGAACATTTTGACAAATAATGTATCGTAAGTGATGCTCTAAATCAAATTAGGTAGGATTGCAAAACCTAAAACAAATGTTTAGGAGTAAATACACCGAATAAAATAAATAAAAAAGTATAGCCGAGTCGCACCTGGGACTATTATACTAACAGTCCCAGGTCTCACTAAGGTAATGGATTTGAGATATCCATGAAAGAAATGAAACTTTTAAGTTAATTTGCAAAATAAAATTTTGAAAGGGCGCCTCAAGTGGTAATTAATTTACCGGTAAATAGAATTATGGGGATTAACTCCTCTTTTAATTTTGTATTATAAAACTTTCTATGCTGGTCGGTTAAATATCATGCATGTTACTTTATTTACGAGCCTTTCTGCTAATAAATAAAAAGTTGTTTTTTCATCTCAATAGAAAATGAAAGGATATGGAGTAAATGTACATGGGACAAAATCACACACAATACATAGAAAACATAGAAAATTATCAATGAACAGGGCTTTTATTCCTGTTCATCAAACAAACAATTACTAGAGATTTTCAAATTACCATACAAATACATATTCACAAGTTCCTGATAATATTCACATCAAACACAGAAAAGGATAAAAAATACTTGAACATGAGTAAATTAGTGCAAAAATTAATGAAATCCTCCCATAAACAGGAAACATTATCAGCTTTATATGAAAAGTTATCCATACACCTTAAATTTTCCTTTAAGGAAAATCCTTTTTTTCTAAAATAAATCATGACAATAACTTAGAATTTCCTGTTTATCTATTCATAATGTCAGAAGTTCATTACTACTACTTCTGATAATGTATAATGACACTTGATGAATATACGATATTACATAAATAAGGTCGTTAGTTTTCTCGTTTGAATTGTTTTACATTGTCATTTCGGGGCCTTTTTTAGCTGACTGTGCGGTATGGGCTTTGCTCATTGTTGAAGGCCGTACGGTGACCTATAGTTGTTAATTTCTGTGTCATTTGGTCTCTTGTGGAGAGTTGTCTCATTGGCAATCATACAACATCTTCTTTTTTATAATTAATGCTTTTTTTTTACATCACTTAAATAGACAGTTCGAGAATAGCGGGCGTTACTTACACACGCTGTTGATGGCTTTATGGCAAATTTCAACAAACCCCTTTTATGCCATATATACATGTAGTCTGTGTAGGTTGTTTCGGACAGACATTTATCTTTTATATTTATTTTTTGTCCATTCATAAATACGCCACTTTGTTTATCATCAAAAGCCATATATTTCTATTCGATAGAGATAGTTTTAACTAAGATATGTTCCACCAATTATAGCCACAATTCCGTCCTCACCGAATGCGACTTGTCGCCACATTGTTGCTTGCAATGAGGAACGCGACGGGTGCCACTTGCCGCCGATGAGAAACGCGACGGGTGCCACTTGCAATGAGGAACGCGACGGGTGCAACTTGCAATGAGGAACGCGACGGGTGCCACTAATGGACCAGGAATTATTTAATCTTTTTTTTTTTGGTCTTTTCGTCGTTTTTCGTTTTGGTGATTTACATGTCTATTTTTATTCGACTTATGTTTTTGAATTGCCTCGAAGGTATTTTCTACCTCTTTTTTGAAAATGTTTCGACTGTTCTAGCTCTAAAAGTTAGAGAATAATATAAAATGTATACTTACAAAGCTCCTGTTGGACCAAGCTTTCCAAGGATGGCCGCAACCAAATAAACAACGAAGGGAACACCAAAAGTATACGAAAGCAGCCTCCAATCACATCTTCCAAAACTCATATCTTTGCTGAGGTATATCATACCAAAAGCGTTAATTGCAACAATGTTAACCATCAGCATCTGAGCGGAAATAAACTCACCGATAACGAAAGCATAACAAATACAAAGAGCACGTGGTCTTACGTGATCCCTTGTAATGAAAATATGCAAATGGTCCAAGGAATGTCCGAGATTAAAAAGTCCGTCACATAATGCCATATAAACAACGAAACGTTCGCTTTTTGTCCAGTCGAAAAATCGTTGTCTTGAAGAACGGAATGAGAGCGTGATTACAACCACAGAGAAGGCAAAACTAATTATTATACATGATAGGGCTGTTATATGCAAATAAGCAAAGTGATTATTGTCCAGGCCGTACACAGGCACGTCGTAACCATCTCTAGGAGCACGTGTTGTAATTGTCATGTTTGAATAAAGTTCCCCGAAATTCGACAAAAACTCAGGAAAACTTGATGTTGAAGCGTTTTCGGCCATTACTTAGATAGAAATTAAAGGCTAATTGAGCCGTTATTGATATAATAGTAAATCTACAATTATTAACAAGCTGGATATTAACAACTCTGAGCTAAAGTTTTAACAAGTTTTTATTTAAATAGTGATATCAAAAATCAATATTCGATAGGCGAACATATCAGCAATATCCTTAACTGGATATATCGAGGCTTATAGACTGTTAGCACTTGACGCAAATCAGTTCATATGTACAACTATTTGGTCAATATTAGGTCTTATACATGTAGGTGAAATTACAGAGGATAGGAAATTTTGAAACAATCCATACTAAAGTGCAGTAATATCTCCCGCTGGGCAAATTGTATTTAACAGCCACGGTTATTGTATTTTGTTCATTCATATGTTTCTTACTATTGTTTGATAATCTTGTAGTATCTTGGTATAATGCAGTTGTTATGTTTAAAAAGGGGATGGTAGTTGCTATATTATTGTTTGCTTAACAACCACTGGCAAACATTTCAATGCATATTATGGACGATAACAATTATAAAATAATTAAGATGGTCATGTTTTGAACATTTCGCTTTTCCTAACTGAAATGTCTATTTTCGTGATTGTTTTTGCTCAACTTTGGAAATATTTCATACATATCCAGACCGTGTCCACGTTTAGCCCTAGGTCTTAGTTTATATATCAAACTCAATTTTGTCAGTGTTTCCGACCTGAAAAGATCTATAAAATGTATTTCAATGAAAATTCTTTGACCATAAAATGCAAATATAAGTCCTGTTCTGATAGTATTATTTTACTCGAATTGATTTGCTCTAAAACTGGCTTGTTAGTTTTGTTTGAATTATTGGGTTGCTGTCACCGTTACGTTTTCACCTAAATCTCCTTATATATTACATAGAAAATGAATAAAAGGAGAACTGAGATATACCTATGCGCCAAAGAGACAACGACCCAACAACCAAAATAACCCAAAACAAATCTAGAGGGAAACATACAGTCTTCAACAATAGACATGTGTCTCAACAATGTAAAAATCCAAATCATCCCGAGTCTATAATCTAAATTAAACAGAATCAAGCAAAGATCTGCAATTAACAACCATATCTCCAAATAAGAGCAGCGAGATTCACAACATATAACTACAATTACGAACCAGGAAGTAAGACTTCAATCTTATACCAAATTAAACTAGACCCATTGAAAGATAGGCGAAGACAAAACAGACTGATTTTATTTTGAAAATGCACACACCATCTAGCCGAAGTACCAACAGAAAATCTTCAACAACCACAGATATCAACTAAGAACCAAGACGGACACTTTGAAATTCAGCTTCCTACCAAATTCAATAAAATATTGGAACCTTCTAACTCCGGGTAACATCACTAAGATGCAATTCGCGGAAGAACAAGCAAAGTTGTTCACAGAAATTGAGAGAGGGTACCAACTTGTTGTTAGTAAGTAACTAACCTTGACACACACGCGATGTAGTAATTATTCTGTAACATCGTTCCTCAAATTATATAGTTTGTTTGATTATTTTCACAATCAATTTATGTGTTCCTAGCCTAGGAGGACTATACATATTAAACATGTGTACAACATTTAATGATCGAAATTACTGGTACGGTTCTCTCTCTCACAAATATCTCTGACTAAACTGCAAGGTAATAACATTTTAGGACAAACGTCATCTTGGACACAATTCGTGGCGAACCACAGAGTGAATTACATTAATAACATTGTATTTGATGACTTCAGACCGCTCATCATATATTTGAACTCTTTATCCGTGATATACTGGAATTTAACTTTTATAATAGCAACTTTATTTTTGCGATCAATGGACTATGCTATTATTATATTTATATACATTTCGTACAGTATAACATTTATTCAACACATTATAAAAATAAAAATTGTATTTCATTTTGTATTTCAGCTTTGTACCATTTGTAAGATTGGTTCATTATTAATTTATCAGCAACTGATTGTCTTTTTTACTTGAGACCAATCGTCGGTTATACTTAATGATCAGGCCATTACAGTACAAAGTCAACTTGCCAGTTGTGTCTCACAGATTACGCCACTCCGCGTCAGTTCAACGGCTACAACCTTCCTGTTGTGCCCTACAAGAATTGACGTACAGTAAATTGACGACGACCTGTCTACACACATCCCGACCAGGAAATACCACGATGCTTCGTTCGAAGCTGTTACCTTGACACTGCGCTACACAGCTTGTCTGTCCCAGTCAGCAAGAAAAAGAAACGACGTGGGCCAACGTTGGCTACAGTTTATTCAAATCTTACCATCAATTAGTTGATTAAAAAACATGGATTCTGGATACGCAGAACGCCAGGACATCCCCGAGCGTCCAGAAAAAGAACCCCCAAGCAGGAGTGGAACATCAAGTGGATGCTGGACAGCCCGTAGAAAATCCGTCCAATGTTTCACACTTAGAGAAAAATCCTGAGACTAGGCGAATACGTAAACTCACGGGAAAAGTTCAGGGAGCATTCGCATAGAAACTTGACAAGTTCTGCCAGGAGATAGAGGCCAGATTTATAATTTCAGTTATTGGAAGTGGCCTAGAACGGGCTCCAGCAACTGCTCACAGTTCAGGAGGAACAAATGGTGCAATCCTGTACTATTTATCACAGACTCCCAGACGAGAACCCGATCCTTCTGAAGAATACTTAAAGACATGGATACATCTAACCTTTTTTTCAGATATTCGACTGTCCAAAGCGGACCTAGCAATGGAAACGCTGCACGAGCATCGCCTCGCCTGACAAAGTCTAAATCCACTAAAACGAAGACATCAAACGGTAAGAAAACCTTAAACAGCGGAAGCTCTAACGTTTCTGACATGTCAAGCCTAGCACAGAGGAAGCGTGCCAAGGCAGAGGCTGTTAAATCAAAAATAGCCTTTGCCGAAAAATAAGCCCTGGTCCTTAAACAGGAGGCAATATTAGAGGAACAGGCTCTGTTCAGACAAACTGAAATGAAAGCCGAAATGGAACAAGAAGCCATTTGAGCGGAACAAGAGGCCTTACGTAAAAAAGCTCAAATGGAACAGAAGGCCGCACAAAGAAAAGTTCAAATAGAACAAGAGCTGCATACCTGAAAACTCAAATGAAACAGGAGGCTGCACAAAGAAAAGCTCAACTAGAACTAGTGGTCATACGCAGGAAAGCTCAAATGGAACAAGAGGCTGCACGTGTAAGCCGGGGAAAAGCCAAGTTGAAGGCCAATTTGAACCTTCTCGAAGCACAAAGAGAAGCTGCAGCCGCAGATCTGTGAAAGGTAACTAGCATACGAAAACAGGGCGTTTCAGAGGAGATACCTGTTGCACACCAAAAACAGGGCGTTTCAGAGGAGGTCCCTGCTGCACACCAATATATCAACCCGACATCTCCTACGCAAGGACCTGCTGTTCTCCCGGTTAACAAACTTTAACGACCGGACTGAACCCTTTCACAGATGGAAATCCAGTTTTAAGAACATCATAGACGAGTTACACGTTTCATACTCGGAGCAGATATGTCTACTGACCAAGTGGCTAAGACCAGAGTATGCCAGACATTCCATTAGCATAAGGGCATCGAACGCCAACAACCCAACAAGAGGCATTCAAAGATTATGGCAGAGACTTTACGAGCGGTATGGTGCTCCAGAAATGTTGGAGGCATCTCTCATTAAAAAACTTGTCAACTTCCCAATATTGATTAGCAATATATTTTAGCATAAACAGAAAATTAGTATCACAAGGAAATTCCCAAGCTGGGATATTTGCTTGCTTATTTCGACTCTTCGTCCGGAATCAAACAATTGTGGCAAAATTGCCTTATTGACTCCAGATGAAGTGGATAACAAGGGCTTCAAGATATAAGTCCAAATACGACGTTTGCCTTTCCGCCTTTCACGGAAATATCTGCATTTATCAAAGAGATCAGCAAGATTAAGAACGATCCTGGATTCAGTTTTGAATCATACGTTACACCAATTGCAAAAGGTGCTGTACCAAGATTCACACCTCAGCCGTATTCTAAAATCAACGTCCATAAGACAGCTGTTGAACAGCAACTTAGAGACTGTAGTCAATAACAAGATATTTGTATCCGATACAAGACAAAGCATCCGTTGAACGAATGCCGAGCTTTCCGAGCCAAATCAATTGAGGAACGCAATGATCTGTTAAGACAAAACACTGTTTGCTACAAGTGCTGTGAGTCAACCACACACAGAAGTCGGAATTGAAATGCATATATCAGTTGTAACGAGTGTGGAAGTAAAAAACACACCACCGCAATATATATTACAAGGATTTAACCACACTCAAATTCTCAATCTAGTTCCTCCGGAACAATCTACGACGGGGAGCAGATAGAGTCAGCTGAAACTAAGTTAACCTCTGTGAGTTCAATCTGCACAGAGATCTGCAAGGATCAAAGTAGTGGAAAGTCTTGTGCCAAGATGTTAGCTGTGGATGTGTTTCACAAGGACAAGACGGACAAAACTATCCGGATGTACGTCATCATTGACGACCAAAGCAACCGGTCTCTTGCCTCGCCCGAATTCTTCAGTCTTTTTCACGTACGAGATAAACCGGAAAACTACACTCTAGCTACATGCTCCGCAGAGTAGCTACTTCCTGGAAAAGAGGTAGAGATTTCGTCATGAAGTTCGTACATGGTGACGTACAATTCCATCTGCCTACATTAATTGAATGTGATAATATTCCCAATAACTGGGACGAAATTCCGACACCTGAAGACACTTTTCATTATCCACACTTAAAGTTCTACTGCTTATTGGAAGAGACCTTATAGAGGCGTACCACGTCCTGGAACAGCGTATAGGACCACCCAGAGCTCCATTTGCCCATAAATTGAAACTGGGTTGGGTCATTATTGCAAATAAAGACGTTGATAAGC